AATGCAAAGCAAAAAATCGTCAGCTAAAACAGCTTCTTGCTAACTTTCTGCTTTGTTTTGAATGTAAATGCAATGAGCTTTGTTTCTGCCCGCGATTTTTTTGTCAGCGACGACAAATTTCCCACCTGTTAACTAACATAATAACTTAACAAATCGTTCTCAGCTTGACCTTGTAGCTCAGACGGTAGAGCATCGTTCCAGCCGCGGTCAAGTAGAATTTTCTGCTTGCCCGGTTTGGTATACACTAGTCTGAAAACAACTCAAAAACCACTACATATATATATATATATATATATATATATATATATATATATATATATATATATATATATATATATATATATATATATATATATATATATAGTGCTCAATGGATATCCAGAGCATAATTAAATAAGTGCAGCGACTCAACAAATTCCACTAGACATCTTTATTACTATTAGTTTCGTACCGCAAGATGTGGCACTTATCAGATAAATTAGCATTAAGGCTAATTTATCTGATGAGTGCCACATCTTGAGGTACGAAACTAATAGTAATAAAGATGCCTAGTGGAATTTGTTGAGTCGTTGCACTTATTTTATATATTATATATATATATATATATATATATATATATATATATATATATATATATATATATATATATATATATATATATATATAATATATATATTTATAATATAGCATTTGTAAATTCTGAACGCTGATTGGCTAAGAGCCGTGTTGATATAACTCCATGTCAACACGGGAAATTTTCCGCCGCTTGTTAACACGGAAATTTTTCTTATTCTTCGGACTTTTGACATTGCTATATTATAAAACAAATATAAAACATTTTTCCGTATTGATATATAGTTATATCAACACTCGTGGAAGTTGGGAAAACTCGAAATTGTGTGAAAACACTCCGCCCTTCGGGCGTCGTGTTTCCACACAATTTCTCGTTTTCCCAATTTCCACTCGTGTGATATAACTGTATATCAACACGGAAAATGTTTTATATTTGTTAAATATATATATATTATATATATATATATATATATATATATATATATATATATATATATATATATATATATATATATATATATATATATATATATATATATATATATATATATATATATATATATATATATATATATATATAAATATATATATATATATATGTATATATATATATATATATATATATATCTATATATATATATATATATATATATATATATATGTATATATATATATGTATATATATATATATATATATATATATATATATATATATATATATATATATATATATATATATATATATATATATATATATATATATATAGCAATACATTCACAGATTGTCGTGCTTATTTTTGCACTATTTAGGATTCGGAACAGTTTCGAGGGAATTTTAATGACCGTCATTAGTCTGTAAACGGTGACATTTTTGATAAATGGAGATTTTATGACTTAATGCGTCTTTTGTCTCTGTCTCGATTTGTCGATTTGCAACGCATCAATACAACATATAGCGATACGCGCTTGATGTGTGATGTGGACAAAATTTCAACTTTTTTTGACGGTAAGCTGCGTTATTAACTTTATTTTTTCGTTTTTGCTTAAATTCGATTCGAAGATGTTTATCTGAAGTAATTTCAGCTTGCATGGACATTTTTTCGGAGATAATCATATATAGCCGCTTTATTAGGGACAAAGGCAACTAAAACTCTTACTTCAACAACTTTACTTCGCTACAACCCGACGCCATGTTTTCAATTATGAGCGGAAATAAGACCAGCTAGCCAATCAGACGCTGGGACGATAATGCACCACATATTAGAAAATTGTCCGACAAACCAAAATGCTGAGACGATAAATTGCACATTTCAAAATGATACCATGAAAAAAGATTTTTGTTTTACTCATCTACGGCACATATATCTCTACCCTGGATTCCGGAGCCTTCAGTAAATAATAAATTGAAATTAAATGTCGCGAAGGCTCTGGTTCAACGGGGCGCGATTCTTTGATTAAACCGCGCCATTCACAAAACAGAATTAGTGCATGGTTTTAGTACAGATTCTCTACTAAAACCACTAATTCTGTTTTGTGATTTGCGCAGTTTAAAAAAATTAAGAATATCGTGTGGTCATGGCAACACTTGAGCGCGAGCCTGCGTTCAGTGCTGGTCATTACTGAATACTTCATGTTTAATGTATGGTAAAAAATGACGAGGGGTTACTGCATGCATGTACTTCTAATGTATTTTTGTTTATAATTGGCCTACGGAAATCATATTTCTGAGCTATACAGCCAATTCAAGAAAGGTTGCCTATTGCAAACCTTAAACTCTAAACCTTATACCTTAAACTCTAAGCGCGCAAACTGGCCTTAATGGGAGCACAAGTTTCAAGCTTATAGTAGCTGAATATTGCAGCTATTTGTAAATGAGTTGTTCTTGCAAGGCTACATTAATTTTACCATGCATATCTCTAAGAAATGGACCAAATTATATATAAATTATTTCTAAACTGATTTAATCATTCTCCCATTAAGTTTGGCATGCTTATAGTATAAGGATTAAGGTTTAGAGTCCAAAGTTTGCAAACAATAACCTTTTTTGAATTAGCTGTATAATATTTAACACTTATATAAGGCCCAAAGCATAAACAGAAACAGTAAGAGCAACTTAAAATATATACAAGTGAAACTAGAAAAGTGTACTGTAAAGTCTGGTTTGTTTCACTGACTGTAAATATTTATTTATTACAAGATTTTGGCTATAAGTATGTTAATCTGGTTATAAATAAATAATTACAAGAAAAATTCTTAATTAAATATGTTTTACTCTCGGTATACATTATTTACAATTTGTCGGTGAATCTTGAATAATTTGCGTCCACGGGCTTGGGACTCACTTTCGGAAACATAAAAGAACTCTAACCGCAGGTGCATTTGCAAATAATCAAATTATTCAATTTATTTTATTTTTCAAACATAGAATACTTTATCGATTCAATTAGTTCAAGTTGTTATCTTGCTGCTTTTGGAATCTGCTGTTGCAATAGAAAACGATACAGGTGTGTATATTTTTGTTCAATTTCTTCACTTTTTTGCATGCATGCATGCATGCTTTTTGGAAATTGACATTCAACTTGTTTTTTAACAGGTTTTTACGCATGCTATGGTGAATTAAGAATGTACAAATCGTATATATGAATAACAAGAACAGTTATAGACTTGTTCGTACAAATATATGCATGTCCCATATGGTACATGACAAGGTGGCAATGTGAGGCTCATAAAATGTTCAGTTTGTGCTATGGGGGGGGGGGAGCTTGCTTTTGTTCCAGTTTTGGTGGGAGGGATGTGTGAAAAGACAAAAGAAAAATTCTGGTACATAAATAACAAAGTGTGAAAAGATATTGTTTGAAGAAATTTTGTAATTATAGAGATCATCGTAGAGAAACAGTAGTTATTTAGCTTTAACGGTGCATGTTGTAAAATGTATTTCTTCTTTATAGTGATTCATGTATATCCATAAGGCCCATTTCCACTCAAGAAAAATTTCTACGGACAGAACATTTTCCGAAAATATTATTGTTAAAATTTTAAACTTCTAAATTATTTTCCGACGGAAAATTTGTGTCGGCCAATCACATTTTACAAAATTCCCTTTCAGCGGAAAATTTTCCCGAGTGGAAATGGGCTTGAGGACCGCGGAACAGGCGGGGAGACCATGCCCTCCCCCCAACTTTTCGGTGGATAATAAAAAATTACTGGATAAAATCAATCCTGCTTGCGTAGCCTGCGTAGCGGCTTTCAGAGAAAGTAGAGCCTGCACGAAACCCCATGCCAAACCATTTCCGCCCACTTAGCCTGCGGGCTACGCCCACTTTAAACAGATGTCAAAATTGGCCAATCACACAGATTGTTTACGTTGCAAATGTACTTGTCAAAATGAAATATAAATATAGATTGCTGCATGTTCGCAAATTTCGAAATATTAATATACGGATGTCTAAAGAAAATTGAAGTCTGTGGGAATAGCGCTAGGACTAGGGCAATCTTCATCGTTGTCACAAGTAGTTTCCAATCCGTATCTACGATATTTCGTAGCTTTCTCGCACAAGTAGCCTACAAATATAATTTATAGTTTCGACAGCGGTCAACCGTGATGTATTAAATGTTAACGTTTCGAGCGATGCATGATAGAAGAGAATATTAAAGGTGTCTAAAGCCATCACTTCAGAGAGAGCAAATCCTGTTCATAAGACATAAGCATTTACAGCAATTCTCTCCTGGCAAAAAATTATTAGCTACAAAATCATGAAGAAAAAATCTAATTGTCGTCGATGAATTGATTAAAACGAACACGCTTGTGAAAGAGGCGCTGCTAACAGAGAACAATCCAACGAAGACACCACAGTCAATATCTCTAGAGCTTCGTGAACCAAGTTCGCAAATACCTTTATTGTTTAACCGTTAATTGTAGCCTTTAAGCTCTTTTGAATGCAAAACTCAAAGAAACGCCTCTCAATAATAATACATCCGCCGTGTTTGTATGAATTTTAGCATAAATTAGCATATTTCTCATTTTGAACCAATCAGACTTCTCGTCCTCTGAGAGAACGAGTAAATACGGTAAAGCATGGGGTTTCGTGCAGGCTGTCCCTTCTCTGATAGCCGCTACGCAGGCTATGCTTGCGTAGAATAGCTCCCGTGCTATCATGCCCCCCCCCCCCTCCACATACTTTTAAACAGGTTCCGCGGTGCCTGTGAAAGATTGTAATCGAACGGAACCATCGCACCATGCATGTATATAGGTTGGAAGGAATGAAGGCAGGGGGGAGGGGGGAAAGTTTTAAATATTTGGGGTGATCTTTATTTCTCAGAGTTCAACTGATATCAGAAAGAGGTGTCACATGAGATTTTTCATATAGGAATGAGATTAGAATCTTGAACTCCACCCCAGGTAGGGTAGTGACACTGAACATTTTTTTATGCTTACGTTTATAGTCGTTGTGGTTCAGACCTTGGCTGGAAGTGTGGCAGGAAAAGTTGAAGAAACAAAACTTCATGGTATATTTGTTGAAAAATTCCTCAATATCCATTATGCCGAAGCACCAATAGGGAAGTTAAGATTTATGAAACCTCGTGCTAAGAAATCTTGGAAAGGTAAGAGTCTCATTTTACATTCTTTTCTTTTTATTGTCTTTTAAATCTTATTACTGTTTATGGTCAGAAAGGGCCCGGGAGAGTTATTGCAAAAAATGTTATTTGTATAGGTAATAGCATGGTTTCGAATGCAATTTGGACATAACATGCACGAGTGAGTTTTTCAAAGACCTGAAAATAGCACGAGTCCGAAGCGCGCTTTTCTTAACTCAAGCAACATTCCCAAGTGTTTGGAACAGGCTATCCAAACACGGCAACTATAGAGTAATTGTTTTATAAAATAACAACTTTCCGTGTTAAAATTTCACTTTAAAAAACTTTCACTTTAAATTTCCGTGTTTGGATGGCCTGATCCAAACACAGGTTTCGACCAATCAGAGCACGCGTTATATACATGTTATTTTATAATTATTAATAATTTACATAAAAATGTTCGAGACAATTGTAGATTTAACTTACGCGTTTATAGCGAACATTCCATTGGCGAAGTTTTCCTGGCTTTGTTATATCACATTATACAATGCTATATAACAACTTGAAAATTCCACTCAACAGTGTAAGTTTTGTTAGTCTTGTTTAAGGTAAAGGCTTTTCCATTTAAAAATAAAAATAAAAGCCATATTTTCCACGCGAACTGCGACCGTTAATTCTTTAACTAAACTGTTTTAAACTGATTGGTTGATTTTATCATCACAATGTTTTTCCACCAGTCAGATCAGTTTTCTACAATTTGCTACAGGTTTTTGCACTGTGATTACAGAAAATTGCACTGCTGTTTGGGATTAACTACACTGAAATCAACCAATTGCAGTCGAGTAATATTTTTATGTATATTATTAGCATGGAAACAGATGAATTAATTCAAATACCTTTCAAAATACAAGTAGCTATATATCCACTACTAAATTGTGTCTTTTCATTACATCTTAGTTACTTCTCAAGCACCAATTGCTTTCTAACGAAAGATATCTTGTGTGGCTACAAATATGAACGCTTTTCTATACTAGCTAGTGATGCTGATTCTCTTGGAAATTAGATTGCAAAAATTTCTACTCTATAGGGAGAAACCAGGCCTAGGCCTCAAACAAGTCTGTAAAATATGAAAGTAAGTGTTTTGAATGAAAATACATTTTCTAAGATTACAGTTAAAGGGGCACTGTCATCAAAATTTTTATTTTCTTAATTAGACGAAAATTTTCTTAAAACTGTATAATAACTTGTTTTGAAGATTTTTGTTCCCATGTTTATTTCTTGAGATATTTCATTTTCTTTGTAGCCATGTGACGTCATTTACTCAATTACATATATAATGAGGTATCAGTAATTGTTGAGTATCTTTGCTATTTTTGATGGATTGATTTAATTTAAAAAAAACAGTATTCTTAATGATGTAGGTTAAACTAACAAACGCGCCGCATCTTTCGAAAGATTTTGTTGAAAATAGCAAAGATACACAACAATTACTGATATCTCATTATACTAGTATGTAATTGAGTAAATGACGTCACATGGTTGCAAACAAAATAAAGTATCTCAAGAACTAAGCATTGGAACAAAAATCTTCAAAACAATTTATTATACAGTTTTAAGAGCATTTTCGTTTAAGAAAATAAAAATTTTGATGACAGTGCCTCTTTAATTTCTGACCATGATATGTTTCTGCTTTGGTTTTTGAGGACGTTTGAAAAAGCCAGACGATACGCCAATCGCGTGCCCTCAGGGAATTAAAGTTCCTTACATAATGAAAGAAGATTGTCTCATACTGAATATCTGGACACCACATCCAAGACCCAAATCTGCTGCTGTCATGGTAGGACACTATTTGTTTTATAAATTGGCAGCTATTCATTTTCCTCCTTTTTTATATGCTTTGAATAAAGTGGAAAATATATATATCTTCGGCAGGAGCATCTTTTAATTTCTGAGCAATGATGCCATATACAACCTTATATGCATAGGTAGCTATGTGGCTACTTTATACTTTATAGTACTCTTAGAGGAGACACTAAACCGGAGTGTCGAAGTCGAACCGTGGTATCTCACACGAGAAGGTCATTTCTGAATTACTGCAAATTTATTATTTTTCTGCTTCTAGTTTAGCATGAAGATCCAATTTAGTGTTATTACTCTAGGTAACTCTTCCGTAATTTGGAAATGACTTTAGTTATTACAAATACGCTGGCTCGCGGATGTAATGTATTCAGAAATTCGCTAACACGCAATGGAGAGGTTAAGCTGGGGACGATTTTGACATGACCTGCGCCAACCGGAAGTCAATCAAGCCGTTATAGATGGCATCAGCATTTTTTGCTTGAAATCAAGAACGGAAGTCAATGCACTTCCATGTTCGTGATTTTCAATAAGAATGGCTGTCGCCCTCACTTGCCGTTTATATCTGCTCGATTGACTTCCACCTGGAGTAGGTGTTGTTGTTAAAAATGTCGCTTTCTCATTTTTAGGCTATATATTACATTTAGTTTCCGTAGATTCTATGCTAATTCTATTCGTAATCCTATGCTAATGCCATTTTAGTTTCAATTTACTTCTCTTTCTTCAATTTTGAATTTTAATTTTTAGATCTATATTCACGAAGGTGGATACACGAGAGGAACAGCAGGAAGCTTTGATGGACATTCATTTGTTGCAGCGGCTGGTGGTGATGTCATTCTTGTTACAATAAACTACAGATTATTTGATCTAGGATTTTTGGTAACTCGAGATGAAAGCGTCAGAGGTAACATTTCTCAAACAACACACATTATTTTCAACAATATATTCTGAATTCTTGTTAAACCCCAGAATTAAGAAAACTAAGCAATGTTTGTTAAATGTCCCTCGGTAGGTTTGAAATATTTATAACACTTTTTAACTTTTAACATTCGGTAATCACTAACTTTGAGATAAAAAGCTCCATTAAACTGTGCTATAACTGTGGAATGGTTCAATTGATGAAATGAAATATTAAGTACTTTTTATAATTCCAGGTCAAGTTAAATCATTAAAATGTGTTGGCATTTCCGCACTATGTAATTGGAAACTGACTGTTTATTTTTGTCTTGGCAGGAAATTTAGCATTGTTTGATCAAAGGTTAGCCTTCAAATGGGTACAGAAGAACATTGAGCGATTTGGTGGTAATCCTCAAAAGGTGACTATATTTGGCGAAAGTGCTGGATCAGGTTCCGCTTCTTGTCATTTTTTCTCTGAGGAAAGTTGGCCTTACTTTCAAAGAAGTATTTTACAAAGTGGAAGCATCACCTTTCCAATAGGGCTCGTCGATCTGCATGACACTGCGAAGAATATGTCGGAGAAATTTCTTGGAGAAGTAAAATGCAAGAATGATAAAAAAGTTTTCGAATGTCTTCAAAATCTTACCACCGATGAGATAATGGAACATTACCGAACTACTGAATACTCTATGACTAAAAACTTCTTGTTACCAGTTATCGATGGGGATTTCTTGAAAAAATTACCTGCAAAAATGCTCAAAGAAGGAAAACATAAACACATTGATTTAATGCTTGGCGTTTGTGAACACGAGGCATTCCTTTGGCATTTTTCTAACTTGCATAAGAACCAAACAACTGAATTTTACATTAATTATTTCAAGCAAGTTCTTCAGTTAGAAGTTGGAAATCTCTCTGAAAGGGTGCATGAAAAAGCTTTAGAGCTATACGAACCAGAGTGTTATCCGAATTTCGTTGAAGCATTAAGACCAACGATTGAATTGCAAACTGATAAGTACTGGGGCTGTCAGACAACTCAACTAGCAAGAACATGGTCTACTCAATCGATAGGTAAAAATGTCTATGTTTTCAGATTCTCGTATACTCCTCCTCTGGATATGCTGGTTTATTATCCTCAAGGTACTTCTGGATTTGCTGCTCATGCTTCGGATCTCGTGGTAAGTGAAGAAAATTATAAATTTTCTAAGCTATCTGAACATGATATGCACCTTGAAATAGCAGACATGCATGATATAGAAATTTATTTTCTTTTAGTGCGAATTAAAATATTTTTCTGACGTCGTTTTAGGGTACTTTTGGCTTCCCCATCAACAATACAAAGTTTTCTGAAGAAGACATGGTTATGTCATCTCGAATGATTACGTACTGGACGAACTTTGCCAAAAATGGGTGAGTACCTTGATTCAGATATTGAGTTTGATATCTATTTTTGTTATTGACTTCTTTTTCTCGAATATATAATGGATTTAGGGTTTGAGTCCAGTTTTCAGTTCCATATTTTTTTCAGAAAGTCTGGTTCAATGTGTTGAGCATTTAAGACTGTATCCGGATTGTTACATCTTGCCTTATGCACTGTTAAACTACTGTTCTTTGACCGAGTCTAACTAACTGTTCTTTGACAGACGCAAACTTATAATCAGACATATTCGTATTGTTGAAAATAGTCTCAGAGATGCAGGGAAAATACGTGCTCTTGCCAGAATAATTCACCAGCATCCATTAAACGATTTGGTGATTGGCTGCAAGAGTGTATTCTTATTCTACACCAACTTCGCCTAACTTTGAATTTGTTATTGATTCTTGTTTAAGTGATCCAAATGTTGGGATTACAAACATCACCTACAACAAAGAGGAGTTTCAAAGGTTACCTGATTGGCCCAAGTTTACTGACTCAAATGAGAGCTATTTGGAGTTCAAGGAACTTTACGAAGTGGGAACCGGTGAAAATTTACGTCAAAAGTACTGTGATTTTTGGAATGATCCAGAGGAATTTACGCGCCTAAATCCTGTACATGTTGTTTCCGGCTCGGACAAAGTCTCGTTGGCTATCGGTATATCGTTAACAGTTACAACTGTAGTTGTTATCATTCTTTATACTTAGCTGAGGTACATATTTCGTAAATCGCACAATACACCGGTTTGAATATATTGTGACGCTTCTTATCATCTTTGCATTCAGACCACCCTAATGATGACGTCACAAAACTTCAGCTATATTAAAACACGGCAATGCCCTTGCAAGTCAGACACAATTTGGTGCTTTAAGAATAAGATTTGTGGAAATTTTTATTTTGAACATCACACAAGTTTGTCACCCTTAAACATCACAAGAAACACTTAAGGAAACGATTCTAAGTTTCATCAGGAACGAAAAACGTTAGAGATAACCGACCGAATACCGTTCTTTACTTCCTCTAAATGTTATTCATTGCTGATGAAACTTGGCATGCTCAATATTAAAACATTTCTTTTCGTGTTTTTTTTTTGTGGTTTAAAGGGCAAACTATTTGCTTTTAAAATTAATACTGAGCAAATATATATATATATATATATATATATATATATATATATATATATATATATATATATATATATATATATATATTCGTACTGTTTAATAAACGAGCAGGAGTGTTTTATAAGTTTAAAGACACAAGCGCGCAGCGCGAGTGGCTTTAGACCTAATAAAACACGACCTGCGAGTTTAATAAACGGCTTCAAACACGACTACAAATTCAATAGAAATACTGCCTTGTTAGTATTCTTTATATAAAGAATACTAATGAGGGCACGATTACAATAGATACTGGTTTATTAGTATTCTTTACACAAAGAATACTAATTATAGGAGTGTTTTATCAGTTTTAAAGCCACTGCACATGACATTATTATAGTTGACATGATTTGCCAGTAAGCTTATGAATTATTAATGAGTGTTTGGAATATATATATTAATTTAGTACTAGTTACAGTACTCTGCACTTAAAATTTCCTTATCGTTTTTTATTATTTTATTGTATGCATGAATTGTATTTTAGATTGGTCTTATAATCAATGTACCTTTACTTCGGTAATTACGTAGTCTCTAAAATCTCTTTAAATGTTGGTCAAGGAGATATAAAAACCTGGTACAAGATTGTTGACTGAATAATCTCGTACAATTTGTCCAACAGTTTTTGTCATCAGCAATTTCATTAAGTTGTTACCAAGCTGTGAAAAAACAAACTTAATGGTACCAACATGATGAAAGGACAACGTTGTTACAGCTTGTTGAGCAGCGTGCTACAAGCTTCTTGTGAACACATCTTGTTGAAAAGATGTTTTCGCACGGCCCCCAGCCGCAATAACTTGGGTATACCAATGGGAATTCGAAACTGACGCCTTTCGTTAGAGCGTTGACAAACTTTACACATTGTGTGATCAGTCGGCAGCGATCGCAGTCACACGATCGCAGTCACACGCGCACATTCAGTGAAGGTGTAGAAAAAGAATAACGTACTAGAGTTAAAATAAATATGGACACGAAGATTTGTTGAAAAAAGTTTGCGATTATCATTACATAAATGAGATTTGGCAGATTTTTATTGAAGAGATTTATTGACTTTTATTTCGGAGAATTATTGCATCAATTGATCATTTGAAGTATTCCACGCATGTCCTTCGCTTGTAAAGCTAAACGCCCGGATTTTTTAATAAATTGGGTCATCTGCATTGAAGTCATGGTTCCGCCATGTTGAATTCCGCTGTCTGTGGCTGATGACGTTATAAATGATCAAAAAACCTCAAATGTTACATAGCTTACAAAAATATGCTTTAGGCCCAAAAAAGTTATAGTCCGTGTGTTGTGACCTGATATCGTTCACTTTTATTAAGCATGTCTTAGATCTGAAATATTTTGACGTGAACTAGCTAACACTTTCAAGAATGGTGAGTTCAAATCCGAAATGTTCCCTCTCCGTAGACCCGCAGTTTTCCCACAAACTGCTATTTTATTTTCACTAATTTCACAGCAAATTTTTTCATTGTTCAACGATACTGATCGATATATTGATCGACTTATTTCAATCTTATCTCTCTGAAAGAAAACAAATAATTATGTAAACTTCAAAATATAGTGTCAGAAGTTGCTAATGTAACTTGGGGTGTTCCCCAGGGATCAAACCTTGACCCATTACTCTTTCTGTTATACATTAATGACCTCCCTAATTGCCTAGATTTTGATTAGAATTGCCATAAATGGCTAATTGCCAACAAATTAAAATTGAATCCCAAAGTATATAATATGCTCTGTAAACACACGACGAAGTGGAGAAATGCATGCGTGCATGAGCTGTTTATTTGGTGATTTCAACGTATATGGAAGCCCTCTTATCTTTCCAATTATATTCGCTTATTGCACAGTATAACACCAACTGATGTAATAGTTCAAATGCAATGATAAGTTATGTCTTGAATTACATCTCAAAAATTGGGTTGGAAATTAAAATTCTGATCGATTACGTATAGATACCGTTTTACATCGTTGTATAAAACATTTGATCGCATGTATAAGCAATTATTTCTCAGCCCAAAGACATGCACAGCCCAAAGACTTAACATCGTCCTTGTAATTTTATAGAGATAGATCCAAAACTAAAGATATTAGAAGGAATTATCTGTACCTTTTCAAAGTTGTAGACAAGATATGTTGTTTACGTCCAACACGCATAAGATTGCATAACCCAAAATGATTCTAGCAAAACCGGTCTTTGGTTAAAAGGAAGACTGGTTAATAGAAATTGGTCCTTTTGAGTGACATAATCGGGTATGTTCATCGATCAGTGTCGTTGAACAATGAAAAAATTTGCTGTGAAATTGGTGAAGACAAAATAGCATTTTGTGAGAAAACTGCGGGTCTATGGACTGGGAACTTTTCGGATTTGAACTCAGTGTGTTCGAAAGTGTTCGTTTCCGTAAAAATATTTCAGATCTAAGACATGTTTAATGAAAATGTTTCGAGTTCACAACACACGGACTAGATAAATAGATCGATAGATTATTTATTTCTTAAAACTAGCAGCCGAAATAGCTGAAATACGTTTAAGATTACAAGGATATGATTTAAAAAAATATGTAAAAAATGTTTTAGTAAGTTACATCTTCAGTGAATTGTAAGTTATAAAACTATTTCCTAAAGCGTTTAGTATTGAATTTAATATTAAATAAATGTTGTATCCTAAGTTCCATGTTTTAAGTGTTCTAAACGGGGAGACAGATGGCCATGGAGCCTGTGAGAGAAATCTGCAACTATTTTCTGGAACAACTTCGTTGTTAGATCATTCTTCTTTTCACTAAAACGTTGCGAGTTGGTACATTTTAGAGCGTTTTCATAGTTATGATGGGGCATAAATATTTTTAGTGCTCGCTTTTGGATTGATTCTAGGTCGTTTGACAAATACAATGTAAGGCTATTGTGGAAGACCGGGCAGGCACTCCTCCAAAACAGGTCTTATACGCGATTTGTAAAATTGAAGTAATTCCTTAAGTCCGATATTTGCTCGTTTTAGTTGGATAAGATGGTAAAGGCGTTTACGACATTTCTTGATCACTTCAATCACGTGGATATTCCACTTAAGATTGTTAATTATATATGCAATCCCAAAACTTTCGCATTTTGGACAATATCCAGTGTAATGTTATTGATGGTAATTGGTTGAAAGTCGTTAATATTAGATCCAAAACAAATTCTCATTTTTTTTACACTTGTTTCGTTTAACTAGAACTTATCAGATGAAATGCTGTTCGCTAAAATGTCCATTTGGTTTTCCAAGTTACTTGCTTGATCTTTCCCAATTAGTTCACTGACAGTGGTATCGTCCACGAATTTCCACATTTCATTTTGCAACTTAAGGTCATTAATCATAATCAGGAATAGCCAAGGCCCCAACTTTGTCCCCTGCGGAACACCCGCAGGTACAAGTTCCCACTCCGACAAACAATCATGTTTCATCTTAACTCTTTGCTTTCTACCAGAGAGAAAATCCATGATCCAGTTTAAAACCCATTTCGGTACATAGAATAAGCGTAGTTTTTCAACCAATAAGTGATGATCAATCAGGTCAAAAACTTTCGTGAAGTCCAATAACAGTACCCGAACAGCCGCTCCGTTGCCATCAGTTGCCTTATTCCAGGATTGTAACATACTGAGTAGAACTATGGTTGTACTTGAGTTTGGGATTGCCCCATACTGATTAGAGTCTATTCTCTTAAGTACAGCGGGTTTAACATAGTTTTCCACAACAAATTTCTCAGCTACTTTTGATACGATCGCAGTAAGTGATATGGGCCTTAGATGTTTATTTACATCACGGACAGGTTTCTGCTTTGGAATTGGTGTAATGTCTGCTTTTTTCCATGATTCCGGTAAATGAGCTTCTTTATAAGAGTTGTTTATGATATCCGCCACAGAAGAAGCCAATATGTCAGCGTTCTCTTTTAAGACCCAGGCGGGAATACCGTTTGCGCCAGTTGCTTTCCTTGCATTAAGAGTTGACAACATCTTGAAAGCAGAAAACTCGGCGGCCGGCAACAGACTCAGGAAATTATCATCCTCGTTATCAAGGCGTAAGTGGGGGAGTAGCGGAGTAAAGGCTTTCATAGGCGTTGTAAACGATTCGTTAACCATGTTTGCAAGTTGCTCAGGAATGTGATCAGATGGCAATGACTCTTTATCAATATTGTGCAGGATTGACATCGTGTCTTCATGTGAGGGCACAGGTGAAGATACGCCACTTAACTTTTTGATTTCCTTCCACAAAGTTGCAGGTGAACAAGATTTCAGATTAAAAATGGTAGATGCGCGACCAGGATTCCGACAAGATTTCCTTTCGCGGTTTACTTGGTTTTTTAATTTCTTAAAAGAGTCTAAATCGTTCAGTGTAAAAGCTTTTTCCCTTCGGTAAATCAGTTGTTTTAACGATTTGGTCATCCAAGGGGGCTAATTATTGATCAAAATCTTCTTTTTAATGGGGAGTAGAAAGTCTAGACCAAAGTTAATAACATTCTCCAACATTTTCGTTTTATCATCACACGTATCAACACTTTCTACCCAATAATTGGAGCAATGGATGATGAATGGAGCAATGCAATGGATGATGAATGCGAGAAATTCCATAAAGAATTAGCCCTTAAACTCTCAAATTAGAGGATCCGAGAATTACTCGTCGACAATGAACTGGATAAGGACACGATTAAATTTTAGTATTATTATACTATTCTACGCTCAGCCTTATTATGTCTTAGAGGTACAAGAGTAAACTTTTATGCTTCTGTAACACATAGCATGGACTAATTATGTACAAGGTAACGTTAATTTAATAATTTAATAATTTAAATAAATTTTTTAAAGTTAAATTCGGAACTTTGTCGAACATTTTTACCGTGTAGAAGCTGTGCAGGAACTTTCCTATATATTTCTTTATATTCCAAGACAGTATAGTTGCATGATTTTTTTCTTTCCGTAAATGCTCCCAAAATAAAAGATTTATTTCGAAACATGATCATTATATTTACATTGTTAAGAGCAATATACTAACCGATAACAACGCGAATGTAAAACTTGTACTTAAAATACTGTTTCCTGAGCTGGTAAAAATAGAATGATAAAAATATACGGATATTTACATGTAAAAGACTTCAGTTGTTTCTGATTAATTTAAATTTAAAATTCATGGTAGTTTATAGAATTTAACATGATCTTGAACAAGCGAATTCAAAATGTTACAAAACAAGACGCTCTACGGAGCGCGTACGTTAACTCGCTGGGGCTATACAAATACGCGCATTACTGTACATGATACATACGGTACCCAGCTATTTCAATCAATTAGATTTAAGGTTTTCCCCGAGCTAAGCGGAAAAGTCGAGGCCTACTCTGGGGCGGTAAATCGCCTTAAATCGCTGCGATATAATGCGATTTTGGGCGATTTTAGGCGATTTAAGCAAAAACTGGGACTTTCAAGCACTGCGATTTAGTGCGATTTTAGGCGATTTAAGAAAAAAAATTTTAATTTTAGGGATTGCAATTTAGGTGTTTTCAAAGGAATTGAATTCTATATTTTGCTCCGGTTTTCTCCCACAGGGCATAATTGGCAGGGTGGGTTAGGATAAACACAGTTAGGAAAGTAATATCATATCCTCATTGTTGTAAAGATAAATAGTCTAGGCTAACATAAGTAATCATAGTACTTGATGTAATCGATCACTGAAAAGCCCCAATGTGGGGAGTGAGCTGAATAATAATGTAATGTTTCCACACACATATGCATTGTATGAAGCAAAATACAATTATTAGAACATGTATGTACATTTTATATAAAGCTAGGTTAACTATTGTATTTAACCTGATTCACATATAAAGCTCAATATTCATGAACTTTTCACCCATTCTCTATTTAAAAGCCATTGGGGTTCATCTTGGGGGTCATAGCAGGGTGTTAGCTAGCCCATATGCTGTCCGTTTGACGGACTCTTCCCAATTGAGGGCTTTCCCAACTGGGTCTACTGGAAAATTAGCACGTGTCCCCCAAAATTTTAATGGTCGGGCGAAAATCAATGCGAAATTGGTCGAAATTGGGGAAATTTTTAAATTTCAATATTCTGTGGAAAAATTTTCGGATTTGGCGGAAATTACGGAATATTTCTTTGATATCTCCTGAAAATTTTTTTTGGTGACCCCCCACCCCCACCCCCCTCCCGCTCGCCAAGAATTTTGGGAAAAATATTCAGCTAAGTCCAGTTAAAACTTTCCCAATTTACGTTTAACGGACAAAATTTTTTTTTCTGGCTAACACCCTGCATAGCTACATTTATATACACCACAAATATTGTAAACAGTTAATATACTCTACTTAAGGGGCATGCACTACACATATCGAGTTAAAATTGCAAAATATAATAAATATTTGATTTCCAAAAAAATCACAAGGGGTAGGGGGTAGAAACACACAAATAAGTGTATTTGTACAGTATAACTGAATAGGCTATAATCCCATAATTTACCTTGTCACCCTTGTAAGTGAAATTGTCTTGTTTTGTATCATGTCAAAACTTCTTTATTTAGCTTGCATTTTATTTAAACTGTTTCAATCTCGTGCTTTCTTCATGCTACAAACATATTTATAAATTTTTTGATATCTACATCATATGATATCCCAGTGCCATATCCAGAAACAGTATCGTCACGCATTCGGAAACTGTCGGCGTAATGCCGTAATGTTTAAATTACATGAAGTATATCGTATATAAATGGTAGGAATTCTAAATTATTTTAAAATTAAAACCAAAATAGTACATCGTTAATTGTTAAACAAATGGCGCACTACATCGTGGTTTTAGGTTCTGCAAACAAACAACACCAAAAGATCTATTGTATGGTATGTAAGATGTAATAATTGTTTTACTGTTTATTGTATATACAGGTCTGGAAAATTTAATATACGAGAGTTGCAAATCGCTCATAACCTCACGTATATTATTCGTTTGATAGCGAGTCAATTAGCGACTATAATTATAACTAGGAGCTAGAGTATAACCATGCACATGTCGAAGTACAACCATTGTATACAATGCAGTGCTCGATCTTACATGCAACAGTGCACAAATTACACGATGACTTTATTATATAAATCAACACTCGTACTCATTGACTTTCGTAGTTTCCTACTGTACGTTGTTCTAATTAAAGCCTGGTTCACATATGTCTGCGATGTGTCGGCGGGCTATTGTCTTAGCAGTTCAACCAAATAATTCACAAAAGAATGCATCAACAGCTGTAAACAATGACGTCGCAGGCATATCGCAGACATGTGAACCAGGCTTAACAGCAATATAGCTAGATTATAGATTAATTGGAAAATTAAACGAGACTTACCTGTAAGTTGACGTTTGATTGGAATTCTATCACATGGCACATAGAGTCAGGAGATTACATGAGATAGCACGGCGCATGCGCGGGTTCATTCTTTAAAGCATTTTGCTGGGTTCATCAGTACAAATACACACAGTGATATTGATATTACCAATACACCCAGTGATAAACCCAAAGTAGGGACATGGGCATTATAATATGTACATATATTATACATCTGATGATGCAGGGTGGGCATGTAATCTCCTGACTCTATGTGCCATGTGATAGAATTCCAATCAAACTTCAACTTACAGGTAAGTCTCGTTTAATTTTCCAATTCTATCACATGGCACCGAGTCAGGAGATCCCATGAGACTTTAAAGCCCTGATGTACCCAGCAATGACATATACCAAATTTAGGCATGAGACATGGTGAACAAAACCATATTATTATCAACTCAACATGTTGTAAGTACTGCCTCAGTCATAGTTATATCAGAGGCTACAGGCTTATTATAGTATTTTTGAAATGTACTGTCTGAGCTCCAACCTGCTGATTTTATCAATATGTCCAATGGTACACTTTGGTAAGCTTTCGATGTGGCAGCCGCTCGAGTACTGTGTGCCGAGTATACTGTGGTGTCAATCCCAGCATTATCAAGGACAATTTTAACCCATCTTGATATTGTGTCTCTTGACACAGGTTGATATGGTTTTTGATAGCTTACAAAAAGTTGCTTATTATCCCCACGTACACTTTTGGTTCTTTTTAGGTACTCTCTTAAAACTAAGATAGGACAAATATTTTTGTCAGGTGTGTACTGCTCAATCTTGAGGATCGTAGTCCCTGATCCTGGCTTACTAGTCTTCATATGCTCCAGAACTTGAAACTCGCATGAGGTCTCGCTTAAGGTCATCTCACTGAGACTGAGACTAAGACAGTGTATTGTTTGACCTCGCTGCCCTGTTACCAGTAACAATAACATAACTAACTTCAACGTCAAATTTTTTAGTGTCTGTTCTTCATTGGGTGTAAAAGTTCCCAGATACTTTAAAACCACAGAGACATCCCATATGGAATTGTACTTAGGTTTTGGTTTCCGCAGTTCAAATATACCCTTCATAAACCTGACAACTATATGATGGGATCCAAAACCCTGACCATCTGGCAAACAAATTATGGTTGACAATGCTGAACGTGCAGTGTTTATAGTAGAGTAACTCAGTCCCTGTTGAAACAACATCCTCAAAAACGACAGAGCTTGGTTCATTGTTGGTGAATGACAAGCAATCGTCCTTTGACGACAAAAGTCCAACCACTTTTGGATGTAGGTGGAATATTGTTTCTTGGTACCTGTTCTCCAAGATGACATAATGATATCTGTAACTTCTTCTGAAAGGTCATCTGCCGCGAAGCGATTCCGGAGACAGGACAAACCATCAGGCGAAGGGTTTTGGCTAGTGGATGTGATATCAACTGAACTGGGTGCTGCAGGAGGTTTGTTGATGGTGCAAGGATCCATGGTTGATCGAACAGTAGCTGTAATAGTTGTGGAAACCAGGCCTGGGTCGGCCAGAAGGGAGCGATTAGTACTCCTGAGGCTTGGTCTTGTAGTATCTTTTGCAAGCAACGAGGAACTAAACTAAATGGTGGAAAGGCATAAAACATCTTAGTATCCCAGTTTAATGTAAAAGCATCAACTGCAATACACCCAGGATCTGGTCGCCATGCAACATATTGTGCAAGTTGGAAATTTACTCGGCTTGCAAACAAGTCAACTTCCAGGCTGGGAAATTTTGTTAAGATGTTCTGAAATGTTTGCTTATTTAACTTCCACTCATTCTTATCATGAAATACTCGAGACATTCTATCTGCCTCAACATTAACCTTGCCAGCTATATGAGTTGCAGAGATCCAAATGTTCCTGTCAATGCACCACTGCCAGATTTCAACTGCTAACTGGTTGAGAGGTCTAGATTGTGTCCCCCCCCCCCATTTTGTTAAGATAAGCAACTGCAGTTGTATTATCAAGCTGCAAATGGATGTGCCCATCTCTGTCATTGACACAGAGTGATTTCAAGGCAAAAAAGGCTGCCTTGAGTTCTAGCACATTGATGTGTGCCTGTTGTTCAATGGTACTCCATCTACCCCCTGTAGAGGTACCCTTTCGGACTGCCCCCCATCCTTGTGTAGAAGCATCAAATTGAATGATAGCAAATGGTTTACCATGAATAATCTTACGAGTGGAATTTGGTAGATTTGTAATCCACCATTCCAATTCATGCTTGCAACTATCAGTTAATGTCATTTTAGCGCCATAGACCCCACAAGCTAATGTTAATGCTGCAGATTTAGCCATTTCTAGTTCTCGATAATGCAAAGGCCCATACTCCACTCCAGGGAAATTGGAGACTAATAGACCAATTACTTCTGCAACCTGTTGTATTGTAGTTGCAGGTTTAGCTAACAATAGTTTGCAAGTGGCCACTGTCTTGTCTATTTTCTCCTGTGTTGGAGAGACTGTCATGTTGATTGAGTTAAGTATAAACCCAAGAAACACAAGAATTTGTGTTGGGACAGTGACTGACTTCTTGGGGTGAGGTATAAATCCCAACTCTGTCACAAGTGTTTTTGTGGCTGATATATTGCGAGAACATTCTGCAGGGGTGTCCCCTTGGAGGTAGGAGTCGTCAATGTACCCTGAACTCATATGGCCCATACTATGTAGGGTAGAATATACTGGTTTTAGTAATTTTGTAAATATACGTGGAGCACTCGAGAGTCCATTTGGAAGGCAGGTATACTGATAGAGGCGACCCAAAAATTCAAATTTTAGGAACTTTTGGTCTGCCGCATGCACTGGCACCATATAATAGGCATCAGTGAGATCAATAGAGGCCATATAACAATTTGGCTTCATCATTTTTACTGCTGCATCTAAAGTGTCCATTTTAAAATGGCGATGCTTCACAAATTCATTGAAAGACTTGAGGTTAAGTATCATACGATATGAGCCGTCTTTTTTAAGTCTGAGAAAGATTGATGAAATAAATTCACCTAGCTCATGTATGGAGGGAATAATAACCCCCTTGCTAAGAAGCTTATTAATCTTATTTCCAATAATTGCAGTTTCACTCATGTTAAAATGGCGAACTTTGGCTGCATATTGGCTGGGATGTTGATCATTAAATTCAATGTTAACACCCATGACATAGTTCAATATGACTGGGTCTGAGGTCAGTTGCCTCCATCGATCAACAAAATGTTTTAAACGTCCAGCAATTATTGACGTGTCAGGCGAATCAACAGTATGCAATGAATATGAACTGACAGTTTCTCTTACCTTACTACGTACAGGTTGTGTTATTGAGGAATTTACTGCTTTTTTGCAGCTCCCCCTCTCTTTTTCTTTGCATTGTGAAACCGACCTCGGTCGAAAAAATTTTCACGTCGTTGATATGGGTGGCCACGTCTGTATTGCCCAGTAGAAAACCGGCTATAAGTGCCAGAACTAGACTGTCTGCTTCGTGCAGTAGCAGTCTGGTATGGGCGAACTTTCTTCGCCAACTTGTTTGCATCCGCAATATCTTTGGTGTGTTTGGACAAATCGCCAAACAAAAATTCCCCACTAGGAATTGGAACATTGCACAGTGCTTGAAAATCTGTGTGCATGTCCTGTTTCATAGCAATACGACGTGCTTGATTTATATCATGTTGACACTGGGTAGCCATTGCAATGCCATCTGTCAAAGATGTTATCAGCGTTGCATCAGGATTTCCGGCAGAGAGTTGGTTCCATATAAGTGGATTAACTCTGGGAGTTCTTAGATTTTCTAAGTTTTGGGGTCGGGGATACTTCCCAACTTTCTCTCGCCATTTCTCATCGGATAATTTGGTGCTCAAAAGGCCCTCGACTATGGAGGCAAGACGCTCTTGAACAGCGGCGCCCATCTGTTCACTAACATCGAGCTCTTGTGCTATAGTTGTAAGGAGGCTATCTGAATTTGTCGTCAAATCCTCGCTACTTGTCGTCTTGCTGGTTTCCTTAAGGAGACGTTCAACTTTAGTGTCCAGACATGTAGACACAGTTTCCGAGTCGCTACCTTGTCCTTCGTCAATATCCAGGCGAAGCTCGTCGTCAAAAGTAGAGTCGTCAAATGTAGAGGTGAAATTATTTATTTCGCCACGCACGGATGCCATCTCAGAGGCCATGCTGGCTTTGAATTCTCTCATTTCTTCCATAAACTCGGCGAGAGGCGAGACTGTGTCGCCGACAGGGCCAGGACTAGAGCTGGCTTCTCTTTGCCTTCTCTCAACCGGTGCATTGCCATCGGCCATTTTATATGCACACTATGAACACAACTACGTTGGTTTCTGGTTGAGTAATCTTGGGCCAAAACAAGATTTGGCCATTATCACAGCGATACCAACTACGTTGGACGCTTTTGATTAAGTATCTACCACGTAGACACAAGGAAAGTAGCTTAATCTTCTTGAATTAACTTGAAATATTTTTCTCTAAATTTTTCTTCGTCCGCTTCGAACCCACACGAGGCGTGCAATGAACCCGCGCATGCGCCGTGCTATCTCATGGGATCTCCTGACTCGGTGCCATGTGATAGAATTTGTAGCCCAGCCTCCATAGTCCATATAAATTGTAGCCCAGCCTCCATTTACACCAATAATGAAATTAGCTCATTCTGGTAACTAGCTCAATTTTGTTGCTTGCAGTGTATCGGATCTATGGGTCTTTCAGATCCCAGAATTACCTAATTATTGTAAGTCTGCATAAAGCAGAAAAGGCTCTGTTTTTGTCAATGACCGGTGCCTATTGAGTGACCAAATATTGTCAGCCTAATCCACTTATTTGATTGCTAATTCATGTTGCATTACTTTCATTGCAAAGCACGTGGATTTTACATGATTTGCCCGTAAAATAGCAGCAATTGATAAACTTGAGTACATGGACTGAATGTATCAAGCAGAATACATCCCTTACGAAAAAAGTCTATAGGTGGCCTATAGGTTCCTATAGGAATTGTTCCAATTCCCTATAGAAGCTTTCAGGCACCTATAAAGCTCTATAGACTTATAGGCATCCCTATAGGTCACCTATAGAAAATGTTCCAATTGCCTATAAAAACTTATAGGTTTCCTATAGAAACCTATAGGTTGGCCTATAGGCCAGGCCTATAGACTTTTTTGTTAGGGATGTTGGCGATTTTAAGCGATCTTAGGCGATTTTAGGCGATTTAGGAGAAATTCGACAATTTTAACCCGCGATTTAGTGCGATTTTAGGCGAGTTAGCTTTGTAGTTATTAAACGTATAAAAACCTGTGTTCCTCAGGAATTCTTACAAACAGTTTACAACGCCCTAATACAACCCTATTTTGACTACTGCTGTCAATTGTGGGATACCTGTGGAATCGTCCTAAAGGAAAAATTATTTACAAAATCTTAAATAATGAAACTGCTCCAAACCTGAAAGAAAATTTTTTGAAAATAAGTGATTGTCCAATTACACACCAATTAAGAAATTCTCAAACAGATCTGGTTCTTCCATTCCCAAAATCACAATTTAAGAAAAAGACCTTCAGTTATAGTGGAGCAACTCTTTGGAATAACTTATCAATTATTCTAAACAATCTAATTCTTTGAGTTGTTTCAAAAGACTAATGAAACAACATTTTCGAAAACCATAAGTATGTAAATAGTTTTGTATGTTTGTTATTTATTTATGTTTGTTAATTGTCAAAATAATAATCATGTAAATAGTTTGTATTAAGAATATGTATTAGTCTTATTCTTACACGTCCCCTATGGAAACCATCAAAAGATGTTAGGGCTAACGTGTTTAAATAAATTTTTATGTATGTATGTATGTATGTATTTAAGGCGATTTACCGCCCCAGAGTAGGCCTAAGACAAAAGCATGCACGTGCTGTTTTTGCGTATAGATAATAATCTTTGCAAAATGCAAAACACAAAGCTTCAAATATCTGAAGAACAACGGACATTTTGTAGAACGATATAGTAAATGAAATGATCGAGTTAACGCAAATTTGGTGCACTTACATGAATTGTTGTGTACACTTTGAATCAGAAGATTAAACTACGTATAACTGAGACAAGTCCATACTTGTGTGAATGCATTTAGCATAGAAATAATTGACATAGCCATTTTGTCATTCGAAGGGTTAAATAATTGTGGAGTACAATCTGCAACACATTTATCGCATAATATTTGGATGAATTCGCCTACTGATGAGTCTGAAAGTTGATATATTCCCATATCTGTTTATGAACTGCCCTGAAATTGCCGAGGAACGGAAGACTGAATTGTAATTATACACGTTAATTAACTTAATTCTCGTGCAAGTGTCCAAGAAATCGACACTTTCCTTGTTGAGGTGAAGAATTAACAATTCTGGTATGCAAATTTGCAATAATTTTCGCACTATCTTCATGTTTATACCGCACAACAGATTGTTTAAGGGTACATTTTTAAATGGACTAAAGCCACTAATAATACACTGCATGAGAAACTGCTCCAACCTATTTATCTTCATGTGTCTAGTTTTGTCGGACAGGTACGAAGTTCACTGTTGGATGAACGCCACATTTTTTTATATTTTCCTTTCTCTCAATAAAAAATGTACAAATATGTACTATTCGGTACAACCAAAGAATTTCCTTCAATTTGCTTTTGTTATAATTCGCTCAATCTTTTTGAGTGTGCGACAATGGCAAGCGCGAGCAATAATATTGAGTCCGATGTTTGAAAATATAGCTATTCATGGTATATTATATCGCGCAAACACAGCCTTTCAGATGTTATTCTTCGCATTAAAAGAGCATTACAATAGACGTCGAACGTTCTCCCCTAAAATAACAGAGTAGTACTGCATTCAGCTTACCATATAGTGAAAAACAAAACTAAAATTTCTTCAAGCGACATTTCTGTAATTGATGTAAATTTTAACTTCAAATAAACTTGAAGTATATCGTTTATTATATTCAAGAGACATACTGTATGTAGTTGTGATTGGAACAACGAGATATTTGAAAACTTTATCAATGTCATATACAGTGTACCGTATAGCTTAAAGTGCATATGACATGAAATTTCTTATTTTCTTAAACAAAAGAACTCTCTAAGCTGTAGTGTAACTTATTTTTCAGTTTCCTGTTTTCATGGTTTGTTCCCGTGATATTTCAATTTGTTTGACATGTAAATGAGTGTGAATATGTCCGCTAATTTATGACGTCACGTTGGTTGCAAGCTCAACTTACACTGGTTATAAATCTATTAACTGTAAAAACCGTCGATATCTGTTCACTTTCTACTGTGTTTCATCATATTTACCAGTGAGTGAAGTTTGAAATTATCATCGTGGATGATAGTAGTGATATTCAACCATTTTGAAGAGCTTGCAACCAACATGACGTCATAAATTAGCGGACATATTCACACTCATTTACATATCAAACAAATTGAAATATCTCGGGAACAAACCATAAAAACAAGAAACTGAAAAATAAGTTACACTGCAGCTTAAAGAGTTCTTTCATTTAAAAAAAAAGAAATTTCATGTCATATGCACTTTAAGTTCAATGTATTCTTAGAACGACGTACATATTATTTAAACCTGTATATTGCAATAAGTTGCAAGCACATGCTGTTTCCGCTTGAATGATAGCTAATATTTGCAACAAGAAAAACCGAACAGAAAATATTGGATGTCCACATAATTTAAAACGTTTTGTAGAACGATCAGTAGCGTAGCCAGCCCAACGACGATTTAGTCCCGCTATGCAAATATTTTCGTGTTCATTGTCTGTGAAAACAATCAATTTTTAAAGAAATGAATAATGATAATTTTGATTTTGCATAGCGGTACCAAATTGCCGGGCTGGCTACGCCACAGCATGAGAACGATAATAAGTGGAATGAATGATTTACATTGATGTAAGTACTGTACACATATTAGAGCATCAAGTTTAGAAACATTTCAATGTTGCCTAATAGATATTTACCAGACGTTATTTATTTAATAAGGTTTTTAATATAAACTACTTATATCTGAGACAAGCCCAAACTTGTCATAATGTTGTCGATGTATCAAATATACCAAGAACTGACCTGTTTATGATCACTGGAATGGTCAGCCATTATTTACAAACAAATACGTTCTGAAACAAATTGTCTGCATATAATATCTGGAATTTTAATATTGAACAACTTGAAGCATAACCTTTATGTGCACTATATCCTTCAAAAGAAAGACTTGAAAAATTAATGGTCTGCTGATCCGCTGAATTCGTGTGAAAGTTTGAGGTTTGTTTTAGATCTTTTTTACTTATTTGCTTTCAATGGCGTTAAACATATTAAGGTTTTAATTTTTAATTCACCTGCAGTGCTGATTAAACGACACCTTTATCACGGGTTTTTAAATCTTTGAAATAAAATATGCCATAAATTTGGGTATCTAAACACAGTAGTATATTCAGCTTAATAAATGTAATGAAAAATATACCTTAAATTTGAGCAGCCAACATCTCAATAATTGATGTAAATTAAAAATTGAAAATAAATTTAATAATTTTACTTGTTGAAGAGATATGTGGTTGTTATGGGAACGACGAGTGGTTTGAACAATCGTATCATTGCTGTATTTAGTGTATAGAATTGAAATTAATGTATTAGCCGAACGACGTTTATACTAATTGACATGCTTAGATTTGTCGCAGCGGGACATATGGCAACCTGCTGTTTTCGTTTAAATCGTGTTTGCTACACGAACAAAACAGAACCGAAAATATCGGTTGACTATATTTACTAAAGGATTGAACAAGTTCAGCAGAACGAACAAGAGGAATTGGAAGGATCGATCTCTCAAATGGGGTATTACACTGTTTCCACTTTGGATTAGAAGGTTAGGATTGAGCAACTTTTCAATGTTAGCTTAATGAATATATTCTACGTATTTAACTTAGGCATGCCCATACTTGTCTCAATACATCTAATATTAGTAATATTCTATAGAATAAGCGACTTAGTCTTATGATCATTTGAAGCATTAAGTTAAATGTATTCGCCGAACGACGTTCATATGTGGACTTATTGGACAATAACAGGTAGCTATACGTAATTCACTGATGAAAGCCACATTCTTTTATTTTCTTATGTCGTAATAAAAACATCAAAAGAACAAGTTCATATTAGTTAGTCGTGTTAATTAAACAATAATATCAAGCACCTGGTGTTTTTTCTTAAACTATAATATTTGCAACAAGCAAATCACAACTGAAAAAATTGGACGAACCCCAGAATTTAGCATGCTTTGTAGAACGATAAGAAATGGAATGATCGATTTCAATGTAAGTAGGCCTACACCTTGGATTAGAAGATCAAGATTCGAAACAATTCAATGTTTAATTGCTTAATAAACATTCACCAGATATTATTTCTTTAATAACGTTTTTAAAGACGTATAACTGAGACAAGCCCAGGCTTGTTTGAATGCGTCAAATATAGCATACGTGACCTTTGTTTGTGATCACTGGAATTGCTGAATCTATAACAATTACAATCTGAAACAAATTGTTTGGATAATATCTGGAAATTCTCATATTGAAGAGCCAAAAAGTAGATAGAAATAACGTTAAAGCATTCTTCTAATGAAAGACCTTGAAAAATACTTGGTCTACTGAACTACTGAATTCGTATGAAAGGAAAAAATTTTGTCTTTATAAGTTTTACTAGACTAAGTTTGTTTTAAATGTCATAATTTAATTTTTAATTAATTTCAGTACTATAGGAGACCCTTTCTCATGTATATTTCGACCAAGGACATACAAATATGCCGTAAATTGGGGGCATCTAAACAGAGCAGTATATTCAGTTTATTAGATTTACTGAAAAATATGGCTGAAATTTCAGCAAGCAACATCTCAATAATTGATGCAAATTAAAATTGAATATAGATTCGACACTTTTATTAATTGAAGAGACATGTAGCTAGTTGTGATGCGAACAACGAGTGGTTTGAACAGTATTATCAATGCTGTATTTATTGAAGACTTGAAATAGATGTATTCGCCGAACAACGTTTACAATTATAGCCTATAATACATGCTTAGACTTGCCACAGTATAAGACATATAGCCACCTGCTGTTTTCGCTTAAATCATACTTGCTATGCGATCAAAACAGAAACCAAAATATCGGTTGACTAAAGAATTTAACAAGTTACGTAGAACGTAGTAATTGGAAGGATCGATGTTTCAAATGGGGTATCATACTGTTTAAACCTTGGATAAGAAGGTCAGGATTAGGCTTAATGAATATTTTGTGTATATAATTTAGACAGGTCCATACTTGTCTCAATTCAAATAACATTAGAAATGTAGCAATAATTAAACGACTTATGATCATTCGTATTCTAAATGAATGGCGAATACAATCTTTAAAAATTATTTGCCAAATGCTTTAAAATTCTCATACTGAAAAGCCTGAAAATAGGCAAAATCAACTTTCAACACAGTATTCTTCGAATGATAAACCTTAGAAAATTCATGGTCTACTGAGCTTCTCGATTCAAGTAAAAGCTAAAAGTTTGACTTATATTATGTTTACTAGTTTGGTTTTGATGGCCCAAAATGTCGGTATTAAGGAATAAATATACCGTACATCTAACCACATGCAGTAGTACACTTGGCCTAATATAGATGTAGTGAAAAATAAAACACAAATTCCAGAAACCTATATTTCAATGATGATATTATATTTTATTGACGAGGCATGCATGATGCATGTGGTTGTGATGGAAACGACGAGACGTCTGAACAATGACTTATTACTGCTATATTTACTGTAGCGTTAAATCAAATGCATTCGCCGAACAACGTTTACAATAGGTATTATTTTCAGACTTGTCTAACAACAATTAGACATATAGCCACCTGCTGTGTCAATTAAATTTTACTTGTTACAAGCAAAACAGAATTGAAAAAAGCAGATTGCCGCAAAAATTTTCAAATTTCATATATACCTGAAGTATTTAATAAGGATCAGTTTTTAAACGAGAGTAGGCCTATATTTTATTGTGTTCACCTTGGAATAGAAGGCTACTGGTCTGATGTACTTAATTGTTGTGTACACTTTGGATTAGAAGATTAAACTACGTAAAACTGATACAAGCCCATATTTGTTTCAATGCATCTATAGTATAAATACAATAAGTGTCACAGCATATTGTCATTCGAAGGGCTCTAAATAGATGTGAAATACAATCTGCAACAAATATTCCGCATAATATTTGGATGAATTCGCAAACTGAAGAAACTGAAAGTTGATATATTCACATATCTGTTCATGAACTGCCCTCTCTAAAAGTTTTTTCACTAATATGTACTTTTACAGTTCATATTATTTCGACGTGTTAAACAACAAGACACAAGCGCCTGCTGTTTTGTCGTAAATTATGTTAACAGAACTGAAAATATTGGACGAACACCAGAATTTAACAAGATTTGTAGAACGATGATAGAAACCTTAACTATGACGCAACAATTTTTCGGCAAATTATTCTCTAACCAAGTAATTTGGCTTTGCTCCCCGACGCTTACGATCATTTCTACTTTCTTCTGTAGTAATTATTTTAACACGTCCGTGGCTTCTTTTAAGAATTTCTCATTAAAAGTCAGCCGGTAGTAGGTATAGTAATGTGACGTACAGGTCACATGATCTAGTCACGGGACAGTGAACACATGTACTGTTGTATCGAGCAAGGAAAGCGAGGACGGATCTAGGACATTCACATTAATCATTTAAATATATTATTTTATTACAAACTGACTTCATTATATTTGGCGACGAGGATTATTTTAAAGAAATATGGCAACGAAACTTACGCATTTAGCACCACGTTGCTGGTCCCGCAGTTCATAAGATTTTCAACACGTTAACCGATACTGGCACAGATTGTAAAACAGCTGTGGAGAAACTCGATAGTTATTTTCAACCGCAGAAAAATGTGATTTACGAAAGATATGTATTCAAACAGACCCGACCTAGCCCTGACGAATCGATTGATCATTTCATTACAAGTCTTCGACAGCTAGCGGATACATGTGAGTTTGCGAGTGTAGAAGATGAAATTCGAGATCATTTTGTAATCACTTGGCCGTCAAAGGTATTTCGTGCGAAATTAGTTCGTGAGCCGACACTCACTCTCGAAAAGCTACAAGAACTAGCCCGGGCACAGGAACCGCTAATCGTCATGCCAGTGTCATGGCCGACGAAGAAGATACCAAACTGAATCGACTTACAACCAATCGTTCTCGAATTGGCGACCAGAACGAGTGATTTCAACAAGAAAGCAAAACAGCGAATATATCCGGAAAATATACTGGTAACTGTTTTAACTGTGGTAGGAACTATTTTCCAGGTCACAAACAAGTTTGCCCAGCACAAGGAAAATCATGTCGTTCGTGTGGAAAGCTCAACCATTTTGCCAAAGTTTGCCGCTGTTCCCCAATGCGAAAGCCAGAATTTCGTGCCCAAAACAGGGGAAAATCGAATGAAATCGACAACTCTATTAAAGCAATCATAACAACGCCAAGAAAAACCGGAACCGGAAGTTCGGCGAATGACGACAGCGACGAATACAGCTTCACCTTGACCCAAGGTCAATCCAAGTTCAGCCCAACGAAGGTAACCAAAACAAACAAGGGTGTTTTCGTGACGGCGAAAATAAACGAAACGGATATAAGATTAGTTCTTGACTCTGGTGCAACAACAAATATTTTACATTCTGCAAGTTTTGAACGTATTCAAAAGAACAAATCCAACTGGAACCTACGTCAATCAAAATATACCCATACAACTCTACAGTTCCTCTACCCACTACCGGCAAGTTTGAAGTTCAATTTTGTAATGGTACAAAAACTACATCTGCAACATTTCATGTTGTTGAAGGAAATTCTGGGTCATTGTTGGGATATGAGACAGCAACAGAACTGGGACTTTTGCATGTTAATGTCAACCAAACAACAACCATGCCTATTTCTACATCAAGCAACACGTCTGATCTGGTCGCAAAGTTTCAGCAACTATTTACTGGCATTGGTAAACTGTAAGATTATAAACAAAAGCTACATCTTGACCCTAGTATACAACCAGTTGCCCAAAAACCTCGGCGAGTACCATTTCAGTTACGTAAGGAAGTATCTGCCCGAATTGAAGAATTGGAAGAACTCAATATCATAGAACGTTCTTGAGGTCCAACATCGTGGGTATCGCCTGTGGTCGCAGCACCTAAACACCACAACCCATCTGAAGTTAGAGTATGTGGTGATTATCGACAACCCAACCGAGCCATAATTCGAGAACAGCACCCTATTCCCACCGTGGAAGAGCTCATGGAGGGCATGACTGGTGCTTGTGTCTTTTCAAAATTCGATCTTCGCGCTGGCTACCATCAAATTGAATTGGAAGAAGAATCGAGATCTGTTACCACCTTTTGCACACATGAAGGCCTATATCGATATAACCTACCCTTCGGCATCCCCTCTGCGTCTGAAGTTTTTCAGAATGTCCTGCAACAGTCACTTCAAGGTCTTCATGGCGTTCGTAACATAGCGGATGACCTCATAGTTTGGGGAAAATCCCAGGAAGAACACGATCACAATCTTGAAGCTTTGTTCCAACGCCTAAATGCCAAGGGCCTCACATTGAATGGTGATAAATGTGAATACAACCAACCAAGTTTATGGTTTTATGGTCACAGTTTGTCCAAAGATGGTCTATCTGCTGATCCCAAGAAAGTTGAGGCCATAGTCAAAACGACAACTCCACAGAATGTTGCTCAGCTCCGAAGTTTCCTTGGTTTAGCTAACTACTGCGCTCGTTTTATCAAGGATTTTGCCACTCTTTCAGCTCCTCTGAACGAACTGACCAAGAAGTCAACAAAATGGCAATGGACTGTCATCCACCAACAAGCTTTTGAGAAAATTAAGACTGCAATTGCAGAGGATTGCAGCATAGCTTTCTATGATCCTGCCAAAGAAACAACCCTGACTGTTGATGCAAGTCCTGTCGGTCTTGGGGCCATACTGTCTGAGATACAAGAGGATGGTACCATACGCAACATTTCATATGCAAGTCGCACCATTACCCCCACTGAACGCCGCTATTCGCAGACAGAAAAAGAAGCCCTTGCAGTGGCATGGGGCTGTGAACGCTTCCATTTGTATCTTGCAGGTAAAGAATTTACCCTCTACACTGACCATAAGCCACTTGAACTGATTTATAGACCCAAATCCAAACCACCACCACGCATTGAGAGATGGCTTCTCCGAATGCAGCAGTACCTGTGCCAAGTGCAATACCGACCGGGATTGTCAAACCCTGCTGATGTGTTATCCCGTCAACCAACAGAAACCTGTGAATGCTCTGCTAACACTGCGGACAAGTATATCAACTTTATTGAGAGCCATGCAGTCTCCAAATCAATGGCTCTAGAGGAGATTGCTGCTGAGACAAGTACTGATTCTGAGTTACAAGCTGTGAACAAAGCAGTGCAGAGAGGACACTGGTATGAAAAATGATCCAAACTGCAGGTATGTTACAGCTTATCATAAATTAAAGGATGAACTGTCCATTACTAACAATGGTATACTTTTACGTGACACTCGAATTGTTAGTCCAAAGTCTCTTCAGAGTAGAACTTTGGCCATTGCTCATGAAGGGCACCAAGGTATAGCAAAAACTAAAGCACTATTACGCACTAAAGTGTGGTGGCCTGGTCTAGATACTGCTGTAGAAAGTCTTGTAAAATCATGTTTACAATGCCAGTCAGCAACTATCAAGCACCACAGCCAAAGGCTCCGTTAATCATGACTGATATGCCATCCAAACCATGGAGCGCAGTATACGCTGATTCTTGTGGTCCATTTCCCACAGGAGAAACTGTTCTGGTCGTTATTGACGGTTACTCTCGCTATGTGGAGGTAGAAATAATGAAAAGTACGACCACTACAGCAGTTGTTTCGCGTCTCAAAAAAAATATTCGCCAGACACGGTTACCCAGATGAATTGACAAGCGACAATGGGCCCCCATTTAACGCTGCAGATTTTGATGCTTTTCTAAATCAAAATGGTGTTCGCCACAGGAAAATCACCCCTTACTGGCCGCAAGCTAATGACGAAGCGGAACGTTTCATGCGCACATTAGAAAAAGCTGCACGAGCCGCCCATATCGAAGGAAGAAGATGGCAAGATGAGTTAGATACTTTTCTTTTGAATTACAGGTCAACGCCGCATTGCACAACTGGTATCAGCCCGGCAGAGCTTCTATTCAATCGAAAAATTCGAAATAAACTGCCAAGTGTGGACCGGTTACCCCCATGCCCTCAGACATCGAAGACAGCCATGAAAAATCTATCAACAACGACTCTAAGAGAAAGGAGAAGATGAAGAAATATGCGGACATACGGAATCATGCAGAGAACATTAATCTTCAAATAGGAGATTATGTCTTAGTCCGACAGCAAAAGAAAAATAAGCTATCTGCCCCATTTGGTAAAACGCCATACAGAGTAACAGAAATAAAAGGGACAATGATTACTGCGACTAGCGAAGATAGCGGCAACATTACCAGAAATGTTTCAGTGTTTAAACAAATCCCAAACCCAAACCTTGAACCACAAGATCAAATTATCGAGGATTTTCATGGTGATGCCTAACACGGAATTGACGCGCAGATATCCAACTCGGAACAGAAGAAGTCCAGAATTTTATAATGGTTCACAGACATAGTATGAACCTATACAAACTTGAAGTTTTAGTTTTTGAGTTGTTAATTATGAATGTTTTATTCTAAAAGGAAAGGAGGGATATAGTATTGTGACGTACAGGTCACATCATCTAGTCACGGGACAGTGAACACATGTACTGTTGTATCGAGCAAGGAAAGCGAGGACGGATCTAGGACATTCACACTAATCATTTAAATATATTATTTTATTACAAACTGACTTCATTATAGTACGGACCTAACTAGAAGGTGGGGCTGACACAGAAGGGACCTTCATTTCATGCCTCTTTCTGAATGGTCCGGCATATATGATATGGGGACAAAGATACAGCTGATAAACTGAAAAATAACCACGTATACCTAAAATAAAAATTCGACGTTCCGAACAAAGGCTTTTCGTCAGAGGCCTTCAGTATTATTTGGATTTCAAGAAATAATTATTCATTCCATAACTACGAATAATACATTTTTGTATATTTATTTATTTTTTAAAAATTAATCAATATTGATTTTAATTTTATTTTCTATCTGCACGTTTGCTAATTAAAATCGTTCAGACCATTGGCGTTTTATAAAGTATGAAATGATACACATCATTTCCATTCCATTTTCGTGATATGCGGTTTTTAGTCACTAGTTTGTCTACTTTTGTGTTGCCTTGTATATTGGGACTCTCATGATGCTAAGCACTCAGTCATATCAAAATTTCTCATTTTTGTGTTAACCGGATATCATAGCTATAACCTGTAATGATTATTGCTGCACTATTCTGGAGTTTTTTACATTTAATTTTAACCTTGAAAAAGAATTTTTCATTGCAAAAAGGCGATAAATACACAAACTTCAAAAGATTTGTACACGCTGCAATCGTTTCAACAAAAAATTGGAGATTATTATAGATGCGTTAAACTTTAATAACGAGTTCATATATATATATATATAATTTTTACAAATTATACAGTGTTCTTCGGATTGTAATTATTTGTTTTAAAACAAACATATTCGTTGCAAATGACTGTCATTTCATTGCAAATGTCTTTCTTTTGCTCTACTTTCGTATCGAGCACTCTATTCGTATGATTCGACACTCAATATACTTATTGACATTCGCCTATGTATATATATATATATATATATATATATATATATATATATATATATATATATATATATATATATATATGTTCGTATGTAATGTAATGTAATATATATGTAATGTAATAATAATAAATGTTCGTATGTTGCGCCAAAGATCTTTGGCGTGCAGAAGTTATATATGCGCCAAAATTTGGCGCATAATTAGCTTAAACTCTGAAAATTTTCTTTTTTACTCACGTAAAAAAGAAAAATGTCGGCCGCGCATGCGCAGTAGGAACGGTGACTGAGTCAGTGGTGGCGCAAATGGAAGATTCTAGCAAAAAAGTTGGCAAATTGAGACAAACAATAAACAAAAAGTTAACGAGAATCAGTGGTGTAGCCAGCCCGACAATTAGGCCTCGTTAATTATGCAAATTCAAAATTATTATCATTAATGTTCATTTCTTTTGATATTGATTTTTTTCACAGTCAATGAACACGAAAATATTTGCATAGTGGGACTAAATCGTCCGGCTTCCTACGCTACTGACAAGAATCGGTAGTTAGGGAAGAAAGGAACGCTATTAACATCGAAGGAACACCTATAATTGTTTGGATGCTAAAATTACTTGCATCAATTTTGATACTGAACAGCAAACTAAGTTAAGGCGAATTTCCAGTCCTCGCACGAAGCTCCTCGCAGCTCGCTGCGAGTGCATGCATGAGCACTTTCATCCAATCACAATCATGCTAAACAGTTAATTTTAATTAGATGCAAGCACTCGCAGCGAGCTGCGAGGAGCTTTGTTCGAGGACTGGAAAACCGCCTTTAGGCGAAATCTTGATTGCAAAATTTATTTGACAAAAAAAAACCCACGACGTAACGCCTGAAATCTTGAAAATCCCCTAGTTGGTGGCTGTCTTGTAACGTCTGCTATTTTTCCTGAATTTCTAAAATCAGTCTGGATTCCAAAATTTAAAGCAGGGTTAGCCAGTAACTATTTGGTACCTGTTAACTGAGACAGTTTATTATCTTTCCTTCCACTAAACTATTGCCTGCTGAATATTGCTCTGGCGGTATTATTATATGTACTAAGGAAGTCGATTTAATTATGCTTAATTTACTTTTTATCGGCGTTTGACAAAGTACAATATGCCCGAAATATTTATTGGCTTTCTATAAACAAAAATAATTAACCTACACTTTTTTTATTTGGACATTGGATTTAATGTAAGCAGAAAAGCTGGAAATTTCAGCATGAGCTCCCCCTTTGAATTTACTATATGAGTAAATTCTTAAACACGTGCGAATTTATCATTATGATAAATTCGCAGCACATTTTGAATTTATCATAATAATAAATTCGCGGAACCTGACCCCTAACACTAACCCTAACCCCAACCCATAACCACTAACCTCTAACCCCTAAACCCTAATCACTAACTCATAAACCCTAACCTAACTTTTTATACTTTTTATAGCTTTTTTAAACTTTTTTAAAACATTTTTAAAACTTTTTTAAACTTTTTTTTGAAAATCTTCAAAATTTAGTTCAACAGTGAAATTAAATTGCTATCACCATGACGAATGAAAAACAGCTTAGAAAGCCGAAAATATATAACTCTTTTAAACAAGATGGGTTGTATTTTTTAATTTTTTTGAATAAAAAATTAAAAATTTAATATGTCAAAAATTGATAGTTTATGAGGAAATTAGCCAACTATATATTGCTTTATCTCCCTATATGATAATTATACTAGATACCTGTTAGAACTCGAGAAAAGTTTTGACCCAGTCCTATGGCAATGGATGAAAATTAATTTCTTCTTCTAGCTGCTGCAGGCACGCCCGCTCGCTTCCAAAATATTGTGACTTGAATCCCGCTGAATTTATAATTTTAAATACGAAATATTACTTAAATAACCACATATTCTTATTTCCTTTATAATAGTCTAGAGTAGCGCATTCTATCACACTATGGCCAAAGATAAGACAGGATTCAATGATCCAATCCATGGCTACATGGAATTTGATCCTCTGTTGGTCGCTATCATTCACACTCCGTGTTTCCAAAGAATGAAAGACATCAAGCAGCTGGGAGCTTCGTACTGGATCTTCCCTGGTGCTTCGCACAATCGTTTTGAACACTCTCTAGGCACTGCGCACCTCGCTGGGATGATGATTGAAAGATTGAAAGATGTCCACAAAGATACAGAATTTAAAGATTATATCACCAAGGTGGACATCTTGTGCGTCAAAATTGCTGCCCTCTGTCATGTACGTACACAGCAAAATTGAGAATTTTTTTCTATAAAAAAAGTCTTGCAAAATTCTTATTTTAAGCAATATCTTGCTTACACAGTACTTAAAACAAGCAAAGTTTCCGTGCAAATCCTTGACAAGAATATCTGACAAGAATATGGAAACGTGTAAGAGGGGTACATTAAGATTTAAGAGTATAAGAATTGTCATTCTCTTTATATTGAATTTTGGCATGATCAAATTTATTTTTCTCATATATTTAAGTAGTTAGCAAGCATGAACATTCAAATGATAGATTGATAAGTGCCAAGCAGCATTAAATTTTGCTTCCTGTTAAAACGTTCTGTCATATAATAGTTTTCCTATATTTCACAGGACTTGGGCCATGGTCCATTTTCTCATGTGTTTGATACACGAATGAAAACGAAATTGATCAAGTACCATGAAAGTGAAATAGAAAGATTGTCCGATGAGCTATGCGAAGATGATGATAAGAATGAACGCAAAGTCTACCACGATAAACAAGCAAAGAAGTTGGAAGATTGGGAGCATGAAGATGCATCTTGTGACATGTTTGATTACATGTTGGAGACCACCGAAGGATTAAAAGATGCTTTTGAGAGGAAACATCTTGATGAGAATAAGCAAAGTCTTATCAAAGATCTCATAAAAGGCAAAAAGCCGGCTAAAGATATGACCACGCAGATCCCTACTGTAAATGGCAAAACGAAATGGTTTCTGTTCGAAATTGTTGCCAACAAAATATACGAAGTTGATTGTGATAAGTTCGATTATTTTGCCCGTGATTGTCACAACCTGGGAATGAAGAGCAATTTCGATCATCTTCGCTACATTCACAATATTCAAATAATATTATCGCCAGACGACAATGGGTTACACTTGTGTCCACGCGATAAGCTTGCTTTTAATATATACGAGCTTTTCCATACTCGATGGTCATTACATCATCGCGCTTACCAACATAAAACCACGAAAGCCGTCGAGGAAATGATTACAGATGCTCTTGTTCTATTAGAAGAGAAATACAACTTCTCCGAGGCTATATCCGATATGGAGAAATATACCAGGCTCACCGATAGCATATTTTACGAAATCTTGCGCAGCAATGATGCAGATGAGAAGACCAACAAAGCGAAAGAAATTCTCGAAAGGATCCAGCAGCGAAATCTATATAAGCTTTGCGGCCAGTTTCAACCAACCCAAAAATTAGAAATTAATGTTTCGAAAGCTGCTGAAGATATCGCGTCACTATCCGAAGGCCGTGTAGATCCGAATGAAATCTTTGTCAGCGTTGTTAATATTCATTTTGGCAAAAAAGATCAAGACCCCGTGAAATCCGTCTTATTTTACAAGAAAAATGGCGAAATTACTAGTTCAATTGGTAGAGATGACGTGAGCAAAATGCTTCCACAGACATTCTCCGAGCAATATGTTCGCGTCTATGGAAAGAATCTCTCAACAGATGTGGACAAACAAATTATTGAGGACTGTTTTGAGAAATGGAGACAGAAAAATAAATATTAAGCTCCTAACTCAGATAAGTTGCCTGCATATTGACAGGACATATTATTGCCAACTAACTCTTCGAAGTATTATATATTGCTTACGGGAGCAAGAATATTGAAATAGCTCGTCAAATGATTTTATCTAGTTTAAAGTGTCTGCATGTAATACAGTATATCCACAAAAACATTGATTCAACCCATTAGTTCGATATACATTATTTACCAACACTATTATTTGTGGAGTTAAGAATGGTCTTATCAGTAACAAATTTTTGGAGCAAGTTCGATGTCGATAATAATAAAATTAACATTGTTAATGTATGTTTTTAACATATTGTTTCGCCAAACATAGAAAGTGAAAAAAGAAGAAGAAAATGAAATTTGTTTCAGTAACACTTTAGTTAGAAAATATCAAAATGTTAATTAAACACCAAAATTATCCTGGCATGGGGGATTAAGTTTTCATGGGGGAAAAGAAGCCAAATTTTTCTGCAGAGATGTATTCAGGGATTGATTTACTGGGGGGGGGGGCATGCCCCCTGGCCAGAGGGGGTGCAGGGGGGGGGTGCTATTTTTCATGATAAAGCAAAAAATTATTAGAGACAAAATGACATACAGTAAATGTGAGTAATAACATGATGATAAGCGAAATGTGAACAACAATTATAATTTAAATACAATAGTCAAGCAGGACTTTGCAGTAGTGAAGCAAGTTGATGGGCGGATGGCACACATGACCGACACAACTCGGCACCAGAGCCGGTAGAGCACCTCCCCCCCCTACCAGATCATGCTGGATCCATCCCTGGATGTATTTACTGCCATGGGGATGCACCCCCTCAACATTGGCAAAGGGGGGGGTGGTATTTCATCAAATATTTTTTTTTTCAATTTGGAAAGGCAATATCCAGTCACCATTACCACAATAATACCCTCACTGCTGTGTGTAGCTACAAATGATAACAGACTTGCTCAATCAACAGTCATACACTGAACCATATATGGGTCGATGAGCACACCCGGCCTCCATTTGTACAGACAACTTATACAACACCGAAATAAAGCCAAGAACATTTTAAATTTCAAATATTCTTGCTACATCAAAAGACTGTTTAACCAAATCTATGAAGGTGCACAGTAAGGTACAGTTCAACATCAAACACTAGGTCTTCTATTTTGTAGCTTTGAAGTTTGCAGGCTTCCAGACCATCATAATGATCATTTCTTGACAGACTATTGTTTGGTCTATAAAAAACTTAGTTCCTTCACTGTCCCTCGAACAAAATCATAAGGAAAATTTTTAGATATAAATCACAAGGCGTAAAATTGCATTACGTATAATTATAGTCTATAAACAACTCAAATAAATATTAACATTAAATTTATGTTCCTCTTCAAAGAATATTCATTGCAAAACTATTTGGTTGAAATAAGACGTTAATTATTCAGATTCACCTGCTTTTGTTGGTAGGGTTTATTGTTTTACTATTTAGATATATAATATATTCATTGACTCGTGTACATTGCAGTTCCTTTCTTCGTTAAAAACATACTAGAACTTAATCATATTTTGTCAAATGAACTTAAAAGTTTCCATTTTGTTTCCTTTACAAAAAAGTTATCGATGAGTGCACAAAGTTGCTAAAATTTGCTATTTCCTCTTCGAAACAAAATTGTTCGCTCCTGACAGCCGCCATTTTACATTGCACAGAAAACATTATTTATGCAAAACATATGCATAAATTTAAATATTAACCTTGACGTCACAGACAAGAAATATTAACCATTGACCCAGCCGTAGCCTGCGAACAGGCTCTCAAGCTGAATTGAGAGCCTGCATCGATGACTAATGAATTTGAATATCTGCGTCTCAAATCGTGACGCGAAATTCTCATTGGTCAGATGCTATAATTTATATGTTTCCGCTGAGCTCTATATATGTCAACTGCTGAAGCACTATGCATAAAAAACACATTAACTGATCAAATTGGACTTGACCATCTTATCTCAAAGCACGAAATGTTCTGTTTTGAGAAAACAGTATTTAAAACATTTCAACTTTTGCTTCAATATCTTGTATTTCGAAAAACAGTATAAACTGTACGTCTAAATTTAGTTTGCACGGTCTAAATTTAGTTTGCACGAAAGTTGTAAACAACACCATATAAGGATATACATTCCATATTTGGAAAAACGAACGTTACGGGGCAGATATTCAAATTCATTAGTCATCGATGCAGGCTCTCAATTCAGCTTGAAAGCCTGTTCGCAGGCTAACCCAGCCGTTAAGTGGGCGAGTAGCGAGAACACAACCACAGATTAAGAGGACCAGATGTCTGACTTCATTGCAAAAAGCGTAAGGGCTTCGTCACTGCGCATGCCATACTGCGCATAGCTTAGCAAGTGACTAGAGGCAGTCACCCCCCTGACATTAAATTTCAAAATGGCGCGCAACAATTTATTTTGAGACAACAAACATGAAAATAAACTCTTTTTATTTGCCCGAGAGAGGGATTGTGTGGTTAAATTTGTGTTTAAAACTTTCAAAGTCAGTACGCGTATTGGAAAAGTGAGTTCATAACACTTAGTTAGCAATATTTTACGAATTTTTCTCATTTTTGATCGTCGTAGGAGTGAAAAACTATAGGCGAAATGAAAATGCCACTTTGTTGAGGTATTTGAAGTCATTTTCTACAATGTACGATGCGTTTTCTTGCATTTTTGACGATGTCTGATATTCATTGACAAATTATGTGCATAATTTATAGTTTTCTTTGCATAGATATTAACTAGAAAGCTAGATAAGTAAATTCATATATTAATAGACAACTAGATAAGTTAGTTTTGTTTACAAATTTTACATTGTATGCATGAATGTATACACAGTATTTGTAAATATTAAGTTAATTCATCTATTACAAAGACTCTCTAATAAAAATCTTGTAACAGGAAATGCGAGTTTCAGAAAATGTCTGTCTGAGTGTCTCAGACAAAATTATTCTAGAATATTTATTAAATATCTCACCTACAAACAACAAATTCCCATGAATAGTGATCCAATCACATTTTGTCTCCTGATACATGAAAGCGAGGTGCCCGGGCTAAACTGGCATACATGACATAATTATTGAAAAAGCCTAATTTGTTGTATAAATCTGAATAACTACTCACATGGTAATGACTTTAACCTGCAACAAATGTTATCATGCAAATGGGTCATTCCAGAAAACATCCATACCACCCCCACGTACAGAGGAAATAGGAAGTTAACACCCCTACCCCCTTCGGATGTCCTAATACATTTACTATTATCAGAAACAATTTTTTCTCCCCTCCCCCTCCGGACGGCAGAAATTTCCTCCGTAGGGGGGAGTATGTATCTTTTCTGGAATGACCCAATGTGCAACTCCCTGTTGTTGTTATTAATAATACTATTTTACATTAACCCATTGAGTCGCATTGCGGCCTGATGTGCCCAACTTTATTGTTTCACTCTGTCTAACGCCAGACGATTTCACTTGTCAAGGGGAGAGTGCAACCCTTAATGGGTTAAACATTAACAAAATGGCCATAAAGTAGACTTGGGGGGGGGGGGTCCAACGCCTGTTTATTCAATCCTAAATCACTGATTACAGTAATAGGTAGACTGAAAAGCGGTGTGAAAGTGTTAACGAACACTGATACAAAAACTTACATTGACCTGTTGGTGTCGACATGTGTTGAACATTATATTTATGTGTAATTAATATGTGTATAAAGCAAAATATTAAGCATGATTCATAAAGGAGGGCTGCTTAATGGAGGTTCGACTATAGGAGTCTCACATTGGCTGCAGCCTTGAAAGTTTGTAGTTTGCAGCATAATACTATTTTACCTATTAAAACAAAACTTAGCTGCACCCTTTGCAAACTTTCCAGTCAGGAATATTGCATAGTTTGTGAGACTTGTGTAAACAAAACAGATTTTATAGAATATTTAATATTGAATTTCCATTTAGTCAGTGTGCTAATATCCTACACATGTAGTCTATACTAACAGAGGAAACCTGTCCAACACACCCAAATTATATATTTTGTAATTTGTTGTTTGTGGGTGAGGTATTTAATTTTAGAATAATTTTTGTCTGAGACACACAATTTCTGAAACTCACATTTCCTGTTACAAAAGATTTTTATAAGAGAGAGTCTTTGTATAAATAGATGAATTAACTCAATATTTACAAATACTATGTATACATTCATGCATACAATGTAAAATTTGTAAACAAAACTAACTTATCTAGTTGTCTTCTACTTCTAGTTAATATCAATGCAAAGTAAACTATAAATTATGCACATAATTTGTCAATGAATATCAGACATCGTAGAAAGTGCAAGAAAACACATCGTACATTGTAAAAAATGACTTCAAATACCTCAGCAAAGTGGCATTTTCATTTCGCCTATAGTTTTTCACTCCTACGACGATCGAAAAAGAGAAAAATTCGTAAAATATTGCTAACTAAGTGTGATGAACTCACTTTTCTAATACGCGTACTGACGTTGAAAGTTTTAAACACAAATTTAACCACACAATCCCTCTCTCGGGCAAATAAAAAGAGTTTATTTTCATGTTTGTTGTCTCAAAATAATAAATTGTTGCGCGCCATTTTGAAATTTAATGTCGGGGGGGTGACTGCCTCTAGTCACTTGCTAAGCTATGCGCAGTACGGCATGCGCAGTGACGAAGCCCTTACGCTTTTTTGACTGAAGTCGGACATCTGGTCCTCTTCAGAGAGTTTGGGAACGCGACGGGAAGTGGCGACGGCGACCTGGGACTTGCATAATTTTACATAATTATCATAATTAAGTCACGAATATACGTTGTCTGGACGTTGGCGTTCTCCCGACAACGCCAGTTTGAGTGATTTGGCGTAGTGCTGACAACGTCTGGTTTTTGTGCCTTTTTCTGCATGATGGCCGAAACGAACAAGCAAAGGTAAGCTTTTTTACGTAAACGATATTCTGTTTAACCAACTTTCGGTAATTTAACTCAAGTTTTATGTTGTTTAGCAGTAAATCTCAAGTCATGATCAAAGCGATGAAGTGGACTGATCAACATGACCTCGAGTTGATTAAAGAAATTTTAACAGAACGTCCTTTTGATAATCCTAAAGGTTCAAGGCGAATAGGACTAGTTTGGGAAAGAATCGTCGACAATTTAAATTCAAGAGCAGATATAGTCTTCAACTTGAAGGACATCAGGGCTGTACGCGATCGCTATAACTTGTTAGCAAAAAAATACAAAAAGAAGGAGAGAGAGGAAATTAATGCTTCCGGCATTGGCACCGATGAGCCAAGCGAGCTTGAAGACGCCATTGAGGAAGCTGTTGCTCTTTTTGAGAGTCAAGAAGAGGACCGAGAAAAGGAAAAAACTGCTAAAGATGAGGACAGAAGTCAAGCAGAAGATGTCAGACTGGTCGCACTTGAAACTGCTCGAGAAACAGCAAAAAGAAAAGCATCAGGAAACGATTCGTTCAGAGCCAAGAAAACAGCTGTTGTAGAATTTCTAAGAGATAAAGCGAATCAGGATATTGAGTATAGAAATAAAGAGCTTGAACATAAAACTAAAGAACTGGAAGTTCGAAAGCAAGAGCTAGCAATAAGGAGCAAGGAGCTTGAAGCACAAACTCAACAAAATCAAAACTTGTTGAACACTTTGCTTGAATTTGCAAAAAATCGTTAACTGTACAAGAACTGTAAGTACATTCCTTTATGTGTTTGACCATTCTTCATGTTTATTGAATACGGACAGGCTACTTCTGGCCTTTGAATTTTGTTTGGATACTTTACAGGACAAGTTGCATGCTATACTTTATTATATTAATATTTTTATAGTTGTATATGTAAATTGAAAATAAAAGTTATTGGTTCAGAAAATTTAATTTTGAATTACTTTTGATTCTGGTTGTATGGATCAAATTTATAAACAATAATTATATCTTTCACGCAAATGCAATGTTACTATACTGTTGTCTTGCAATATACTATGTTTCATAGAGTATTATCATTAATTACATGTGGACACTATGCATCAGCTCTCCAGAAGTAGTTTTCTAGTGTTGGTGGGTTGATTTCAAAATATTCTGATACAATGTTACCATACAAGCAAGCTAAACTATTTTGCAATATGGCAGATACAATGTAAATTTTTCCAATGGGACTTAACCGTATTTTAAGTTGTTGCTTAAAATCTACAAACTTAAAATACTTGGTTATTTCTCCAAATAACCATTCCACACTGACTCGTACACTGCTCATTGCCTTGTTATATTGCCTCATATCTTCTGTTAATGCGGCATTATTTCGGAATGGTTGCTGGAGGTGGACCCTCAATGGGTAGGCTGGGTCACCATATAGACATAATGGGGTGCCGTCTGGTGCAAATGCATGCTGCCTGAGGTCTTGCATCAAGCCTGACTCTCCAAGTATACGTGCATCATGCATTCTTCCCTCTAAAGCAAAGCAAAACAAAATATATAACTAAATGATTGAATTGAATGACTTTGTTCAAAATTTATATATTAACAATTTATAACAGAACACATCATTGTACTGATTATTGGCAATATAAATGTCAAAAAAGTGCTAACTCACCCCATGGTCCAGACAGGTTTGCTATCAGACCATTCGGAATACATATACTCTGAAATTTGATGGCATGTAGCCGCTTATGACCATTGTAAACAATTCTTTGATTAACACTGGGTCTACAAATTGGCCGAACTGTGCCATCGATGAAACCAAAGCATGTTAGAAGAGGGGAACCTTTGACATGAATTGCATTTGCATAGGATTCCAGATTCTCTGGAGATAGAAATGGTTGATTCCAGCTTTGTAATCTGAAACCATGGTTGTTGTAAATATGATTGATTGCATATTGAGTAATCTTGCATAGTTCGGGCACTGATCGGCCAAACATGGGAACCATATCACAGTATCGCACTGGGTAAGCAAATCTTTTGAGCAATATGCACAAAGCTTCCAATCCAGGACAGTCTGTAGCATGTGGGATGGAAATCATTTCTGGAAATTGAAGCGCTTCTTGCAACCTTGGAATGTCTTGTTTGTCAAACCGACACTCAACTTTGCAAGTAAGTTCGTCAAGGTTTTCCCAGTCAAATGGATTATAATCCCGATAAGGGAAATTTGAGTGCCTATTTGGCGATATACATAAGTAATCTTGGAGAAGTAAAAGCTCCTCGTCTGATATTAAACTATCATCGTACGACAAAAGGAGAGTGTCAAAAATTTCATCCATTTTGAATTTACAAAAGTTTTAAACAGTGTGACCAGATATTTCGCAAGGCAATTACTAAATAAGCATACAAAAAATTACCAAAACGTAGAAAAAATTACTAAATTTCTGCTGTCAACCAAAGTGGTCTGAAAATCAATAAAACACTCAGTAAAACAAAATCGGTAAAATCCATCACTGAAACTGTGTTTTTTCCCATGTTTTTCTTTCTCACTTGTACTTTTTCATTGAATTTGTATGAAGTGCAAATATGGCGCCGCCATATGACCATGATCGGGCCCGGGTGGCGGGTTCCTAGCCCGACAGGGTGAGTGGTGATCAGCAGGATTCTGTCGATTCAGCTGGACAGCTTGGGCCAGCAGCTTGCAATTTGGATGCACAGCTTTGCAGGCATGGACTTGCACTGTTCTCACTGAATTCTTGAATAACAGGTTGTGTTATTATGGCGTATTTGCCAACTATTTGGTTGAATTTCATGCGATAACCAAAAATTTTCAATTACCAAAAAAGTCTGAAAAATCGCGAAATATTACCAAAAGTAATTAAAATTACCAAATCTGGTCACACTGGTTTTAAATTTTACCGCCGAACAATAGCCAAACAGAATTCTGGGGGCAACGGCGACGTTTCTGCAACGTATTCGTTCCCAGGCCCCTGCTCGGTCACAGACGTCGCCGTCGCCACTTCCCGTCGCGTTCCCAAACTCTCTATTATATGCATAGTAGAGAGGGCTAGAGATTTAAATTCCCACATAACACAGTTATAAAATTCTAAACATATACTCTCTCCTTTTCAATTTCTCAGCGTGTCATCATCTGGAATGGTAACCTCATAACCCTGGAAATGGCTATTAAAACAGATGGTATCTAGTGGCTGCATCACAAACTGGATTGCTGCAAGATTTTTGCAACAACTACAATTTTGAGAATCTTCCAAAACCTTGGCATATCATCATAATCGTAACCACTATGTATGATGGCATTGCATCTGTATTTATGTACCGGTACATAATTTTTATTCTGCCTAAAAGTTGAAAGCCCGGGGCCGGTTGTATCAAGGACGTTTAGCTTAAACTTTCAAACAAATATATGAACTATAGACTACAATCAAACTAATATTTTCTTTCCAAACATAACCATGACATTTAGTTGATAAAATTGAAGTTCAATTTTTTACAAAATGAATAGGAATGTTTTGAAATTTGTGCTTATCCACCGTTTAAGCTAAACGCCTTTGAAACAACTTGCTCCTGTTTAACTTAACCCATTGAGTGGCGATGCACCCTGATGCACCCTACTTTAGTATTTTACTCTCTCTAACGCCAGACGATTTTACTCGTCAAGGGGAGAGCGCTGGCTCTTAATGGGTCAATATAAGCAAAATCTTGTTTTATCAAATTATCCATAAATTATCCATTGTTAGATGGCATACAAAATAACAACACAACATTGCCAACAATTTGTGTTCTTGTTGGAATTTCCTATATTGAGCACTTACTATATTTCACGTACTCTGTCTAACAATTTGTAACTAATTTGATAAAGGAACATGGCATAATAATGCCTCATAAAGGCCAGATTATATTGTTTTGGTTCACTTTTTTTATACACCATATATAGGCCTTTAATTGGCAAAAGTACCATGGTGACAGTTTTGTAAATAAGTTAATATTGAGGAAGATAATTGTATAATGTTTTGATAGATATTTTCAACGTTAAATTTTATTAAAGTTAAAATATAAACTGGTTATAATATTAATACCTTGTATACTATATTCACAATATTCCGAGGACTATAGTTGTTGTACAGGTATTTTCATCGTTTGTCAACTCGTAACTTGTTTTAGTCATTCAGAAAGCAATGATATATCTCAGAACACAAGACTTTATATGACAATTTCGATATATTGTTATTGCAAATGAAACAAAAACATCAAGCAAACTTCGATTGTATCCATGCATGTGATTCATTGACATTAATAGTAAGTTGTATACTTCCGTTTATGTGCATTTATGGATACCGTGCTACAATAACGTGGTCGTATTGTAATTCCTTCGCAGTTGCCAGTTGCTATGCAACCAACACATCGATATTTTAATATATTGATCCTCGAAGGAAATGTTTTTTAAAAGACGATAGCATAAAGATATATATGGAACATTTCGCAAGATAAGTTTCTGACATTCGAAGAAATAATTTTTTTAACCCTTGAAACGGAGTTAGATTTATTTAACTCCTTAAAAGGTGTTATATTTTAACACCCAATGAGTGTTATTTTAACTCCAAAACTGGGGTTAAATTTTAACACCTTAATTGGTGTTATTTGTAACCCCTAAAAAAGGATTATTTTAGACTAAACGTAGTAACCCCTCTTTTTGGTGTTAAAATAACACCCCGAAAAT